GAGGAAGAGAGAAAGGCAAACAGAGTGAGGAGGAAGCAGACAAGGAAAAATAGGGCGAGAGGAAGGAGGGGAAAATGGCTTCCCTGGTGGCTCAGATGGTGAAGAATCTGCCTGCAATGCGGGAGACCTGGGTTCTATCCCTGGGTCAGGAAGATCCCCTGGAGAAGGGAAAGGCAACCTACTCCAGTATTCTTGCCTGGAGAATCTCATGGACAGAGGAACCTGGTGGGCTATGGGCTACAGTCTATGGGGTCACAAAGAGTGGGACAGGACTAAACACACACAAGGAGGGGGAAACGGAGGGGAAAAGAAAGAACAGAAAAGAGGAGAAAGGGGAGGAAATAGGAGAAGAGGGAGGAGGGATAGGACAAAGAGGCCCATGCCCACTGGGACCTTGGCAAAGTGCATGGGGCAGGGCTGAGACTGTGGTCCTGGCTGGTGAGGCCATGGCCTTGGCCATTGCATTAGGTTGGGTGGAAGTTCCCTTCCTGTGGTCAAGGTGGACCGCAGCTCAGTTGCAGAGGTCATCAGGAATCAATTTGAAAGCAAATGTCCTTTCAGGAACCCCTATCTGGCTTCTCTGGGATGTGGAAATATAAGGGGTGGGTCCGTGGGGCTACTTGCTTGATATAGGGCTGGCTGCTGGGGAGATCGCAGGGAGCCCTAGAGCTGTTGGATGGAGCTGTAAGGCTGACCTGGCCTGGGCTTGAGGCGGAGGACAGGTCCAGCAGTGTCAGCCGTCCCAGGGGCTGCACTGCCACCTGCTGAGCGGCCTGGGCAGTCCTGGGTCCTGAGCTGCGGGGCTCACGCGAGGCCAGGCGTGGCGGGCAGCGAGTGGGAAGGACGGACACGGCAGGGGGTGCGCAGGTGAGCGCAGCCTCTTGCTCTCTGGCGCGCCTGTCCTTCCCGCCAGGGATTTGAGTGCCCGGGTAAACACCAGGCGCGGTGTGCGCGGTGTATCCACGGAGAGACAAAGCCGGGGCGGGGCGGGGGCGCCGCCCGGGAAGCCAGGGCGGGGGCGCGGGGTGCACGTTAGCCTTACCGGGCGCGGGCTGCCCCACCGCCTGGGAGCACCGAGCCTGCCCGCGCCCCGCGCCGGGGAATGCGCCCTCGGCGCGCCGGCCAGGGGGCGCCCGCAGCCCACCCGGGGGGAGGCGGCCCCGAGCGCCCCTGAGCCTTCCCATGGCCCGGGATGGGGTCCGGGTCCTCGACTGCTGACGCGCCCGAAGCCAGCAGACCCCGTTAAGCCGGGGCCGCGGCGCCGACCCCGGCTCAGGCACAGCGGCGAGAGGGCGCGGGCAGGGCCATGGCCCCGGGGGGCCGCTAGCGCGGACCGGCCCAACCGGGAGCCGCTCTGCTGCCGCCGCCGCCGCCGCCACTCGGGAGCCCAGGCCCCGCCGCCGTGGAAGAGGTGAGTGCGGCGGGAACCGGGAGGGAGCGGGCAGGCGGCCGGGCCACCCCGCGATCCCTCTGGGACCCGCGGCACTGCAACTCTGCGGAAGTGTCTGGGGCGCGGGGCTCGGAGAGGCAGGGGGCTTCCCGCGGACGCGAAGACGACAGGACTAGAGTGGGCGCTGTACCTGTCCGGGCTGCCCGGACCCTCAACATCGAAGCGACGTGGAGATGTGTGAAGGATGTGGCCTGCGGGGTCACCAGTGTGCAAAGCAACTTTTTCTCCGAAAGGTTCTGGGTGGGTGGGTGCTCCCATACGCCTCCTTGTTGCTGTAACTGGAGGCCTGATGCCCCATCCCCTAGCTGAGCTCTCCCGCTAGCCTCAGGCAGCTCTCTTCCTTGGTAGGTACCCCTGCCCTGCCTCAGTGTCGGAATCTGGGGATCGTCCGCTGGAAGGGAAGCGCTACCCTGGCAACCCCCTCGTGGAGGGTCTCCAAGATCAGCCTGGGCAGGACAGCCAGCCCCAAGGCTTTTCACCCAGCCCTGTGCCAGCCCCCTGACCCCCAGCTGCTGGTCCGAGTCTGCCTTCCAGCAGGCCGTTTTGCTTGGATTAGGGGCCCTGCTGTATGTGGGTAGTGAGCGAGCTGGGAGAGCCTGCAGTCAAGTTCCCCAAATCTGGCCAGGCTGGGGCCCAAGTGGTGGAGTGGGCAGGGGACAGTAGGAGCTTGGTGGACTTGCCTAGAGCAGGTGGGACCAGAGAGTGTCAAGGTGGCCCAGGAGGGCTCAGCTGGAGCTAGGACTGCAGGCCTGCCTGGATAAATAACTTCTGATTCTTGAGATAACTGTGTTAGGAACACCAGCCCATGAACACCTGGGGGAGGTGGGGTGTGAATCTGAAGCTAATGTGTCAGCTCTGGAGATTCGGGGTTCTTGTCTTCCTCAATTCATCCAGATTGTTTCCCAGAAGCCTCTGTTCTAATTGCAGAGATAGAGAAACTGCACCCAGAGGTTGGTAGGCTCATGCCAGTCCAGGGGGTTGGATGGAGATGGAGCCTTTTCCCAGGCTGCACAGGGAGTGTGCCTGGACCCTTGGGGTAAGGTGTCCTGGAAGGTGAGGACACTGGGCATGCCTCCCCCTGCTGCTGCCCCTCAGTTGTGAAGGAGCCAGGCCCGGAAGTGCGGGGGTTGGGGAGAGGAGGGAATCCAGCCTCAGCCCCCTGCTGCTCTAGGCACACCTTGAGGGGGAAGATGGAGCCAAGCCCAGGTGACCTTGACTGGGAAACTGACCACGAAAGAGGGGTTTTCAACACCAGCTGTGCTGGGGTGTCTCTGCTTCCTGGTCCATAGGGTGTTGGGGGAGGGGGAGGCCAAGGAGTCAGGAAGGAGCTCTGGCCTGCTGGAGGGGGGTGTCGGAGGAGCTAGATGGGGGGTGGGGTGCTGTTAACAATTTTTCCATCATGTCCCCCCCGCAGCCTTTCCATCCAGTTCTCAGCTCGCAGGAGCCAACCTTCCTTCCCCGAGGCAGGCTGTCCACCCCCCTACCCGCCCCCCTCCTCCAATCCCAAGAAGTCTGGATCTGGCTGGACAGTTTGACCTCCTAGCCCCCTGCTCCGCCCCCAGGTGCCTCCAGACCCCTTCGTCTGGCCGCCCCTTCCCTGTACCCCTTGCCAGCCCCAGCTCCTCGGTTCTTTGTTCGAACGTCTCTCCTCCGTCCCTCCCTCTCTCCTCCCTCTCTCCTCCTCCCTCCCGCCTGCCTCCCTCCCTTGCTCCCTCCCGCCAGCCTTCTTTCCTTCCTTCTCTGCTCTCCTCCTGGTGGGCTCCCAGGTGGCGGTGGCTGTTCCTTCTCTGTCCACCCACCTGGGCTGGACCCAGCTGGGGGCTGCTCTGGGACTGGGGCTGAGTGGAATGCATCCAGGGGCTGGCAGAGGAGAAGCAACTATGGCAATGCCTTCCCCATCCCTATCTCTGTCCTCCTCTTCCTCCTCCTGCTTCCTTCTCCTCCTCTCCTCCATCCCCCAAGCTGCCAAAGAGGGGGCCTAGACTTGGGTCCGTGGCCCCAACAGTTTTGAACATCTGCCATTCACCCCTTTAAAAGGCCAAAGCATTGTGGGAGGTCCCTGTAGGGGCCCAGTGAAGCAGAGCCCTCCAGGTTCCTGGACTCCTTGGGGGGACTCCAACACTGTCCTTGGTGACCCTGACCTTGTCACCATGAAAATGGATGTAGGAGAAATGAGGTCACAAGGAGGAGGGGAGGCGAGTCACCCCAGCCCCTTGATACCTAGGATCAAAGCTCTCCAAGGGACTCAGCCTGCATCCAGCCCTTCCCGAGAGAGCTAGAACAGCATCTCCCCACTTCCTTGAGCCCCACCCCACTAGCAGGTCGAGTTCTTGAACAAACACATATATATATGCTTGTAAGGACTAGTGCAGGCATGTAAGTTTGGACGTGTGTATCTCCACAACTGCTGGAGGGGCCTCCCAGGTGCACCCGTGCCGGTAGCAGCCTTCTCCCACACACACGCCCCCCCATCAGGGCCTGCCATTCAGTCTGCTCCCGCTTTGTGCCCCAGCGGACAGGGGGCGGGGCTGGTTCCGATTCTCCCCTCCCTCAGCCAGCCCCCCTAGCATCTGTGATGGGAGGTTTTGATGGAACCTGAGAGGTACCGCAGGCACCCCGGAGAGGGTGTGCCCGTAGAGAGCACCACTTGGGGAATGGGTCAGGCTGCTTGAAGCTGCACTTCCTGTCCGAGGAGTCGCCAGTGGTCTGCCTGGCAGCAGAGGCCAGGGCTCAGGGGCGGGGGGTCCCGGGAGGACATCGGGGTCTGTCGATGGGGACTGGACAGTCTGATGTGGAGCCTTGCCTCGGTGGATGCCAGCCAGGGCAGGGGATTAACAGATCACAATACCCCCTCACCCTCCCCTCCCCACCCCAGGGTCCTAGAAATGGGCCTAGGGTCCCTGTCTCCCCTGGGAGAAGGAAAATAGACCTGGCAGTTCTGGGGGGTGGGGCTCACATTGTCGTTGTTGCCCCCACCCACAGTGCATCTGGGTGGGGGGGTGCTGGGAAGTTGGCGCTGATTTTCGCCGGGAGGGAGCAATATGTTCTGACAACTGGTGCTGGGCTGCGTTTACCCAACAGCCAGCCTGCCTGGGGAGACAATATTTGAAAAACATTGTGTGGAAACTCGGGCCTGCTGGGGGTCTGTATCAGAGCTCTGCTGGGGACACTGAGGCTGGCTCAGACCCTGCCCCTGGCCTACTGGCCACCTTTGCTCCCCTTCTTTGGTCTCTGTAGGCAGAGCTGGAAATGTCGCTGGCAGGAAGTCCTTCTGTATGTCTGACCCGGATCCCTCCTGCTGTGATTTCAGTGGAAGTAGACCCTGCTGTTCTTTGCCTTTCCTATTCTGGCTGCTGTCTCTCTCTCTAGGCCATCTATGTGTTTCTCACGCATCCTCCGCTCTCTCCTGCTCCCAACTCTAATCATCAGGTTCAGGTTTCCCTTTACTGAGAGGAGAGATTTGGCTGGAGCCTGCAGGACTGGACCCATCTCTTCCCCCATTCCCTGAAGTGGGAGAGGAAGGAACAGCCCGTTTGGTTGGGGGGTGGGTGCGTGGAAACTGGGGAAGGATGTAAGATCACCTCCTTGAGCTGAGCCCTGTGAACGGAAGTCTGGAAACTGTGGTTGGGGAAGGGTTTGAGTGTCTACTGGCCCCTGTCAGCCCTATTGACCCTAGGCAGCACCCAGTTGCTTGGTCTTCAGAACCATTGTTAGGGACAGGGAAGTATATGGGACTTTCATGTTACGGTATTCATGGCCCCAGGCTGAGGGTGTGAGCACAGAGGTACCCATCACCCTAGGTGTTCAGATAGGGAAACCGAGGTACCTTTGGCAGAATTACACAAGAAAATGTTGGTCAGACAGGAAACCTTGCTCTGCCTCATGTGTTTCAATCTTGTTCCTCCTCCCAGGTGTATAGACGGCTGCCTGACCCCTGGGCCCTAGGCCCCTTCCACAATGCCTGTCGCTGGTCTCCTCCTCTGGGCTTCGCTGCTCACTGGGGCCTGGCCAGCCGCCCCCAGCCAGGACTACCTCCCAGCCACGCCCCGGGTCCGGCTCTCATATAAAGGTAAGAGGCTCCCTTGCAGTTCCCCGGCATCCCCCTCTGTCCAGAGCATTTTGTCCTGTTGCACAGGAGAGAGAGGAGAGGTCAGAGCAAGAAAGAACAAATTGTACAGCCACACGGCTCACACTGGGTGTGTTGTAGGGGTTGGGGGAGGTGGTGACTTGCTGGGAAAAGCTAGAGACTGGACTACTTAGACATTTAGAGAAGGGTCCTGAGTCTGGGCTGCTTCTAGAGCCAGAACGTATGGTCTCTGGGCTCGAGTCTGCAGGATGTCTGTCCATGTGATAACTGGGGGAGACAGAGGTATCCCATCTTTCAGGCTTGTGCTTGCAGAAGCCCTTCCCTGCCACTGGTCCTGCCCTTGCCTGATCAGACAATCGGACAGATACTGAGGCCTCCAAAAGCTAGAGGAGCAGGACCTGCTCCTCTGGGGTGTGGGTGTTTGAGGAACCATCCTAGGGGTCTCCAGGTGGGAGGGACTCCTAGGAATTGGGGAGGGGGCTCTTGTGCTGTGACTGGAGGAGTCTAGGGCCCCTGGTGAGTTCAGGGAGAACACGTGCTGTTGTGACGGTCCTGAGATCCCCAGTGAGCATTTTGCCTGAAATCACCGTAAGGTTTTTGGGCTTCCCTGGTAGCTCAGCTGTAAAGAATCTGCCTGCAGTGCAGGAACCGCAGGAGGTGTGAGTTTGATCCATGGGTTGGGAAGGTCTCCTGGAGGAGGGCATGGCAACCCATTCCAGTTTTCTTGCCTGGAGAATCCCATGGACCAAGGAGCATGGTTGGCTACAGTCCATAGGGTCTCAAAGAGTTGGACACGACTGAAGCCACTCAGCATGCACACACACAGTGGAAGGTTTTAATGATGAGTTGGGGTGTGCAGAGTAAGACACTGGTCCAGCTCCATCACCTTTGCAGCTAACCAGCCAGGCAGGTGAATGCATGTGGCCCACATCCTCAGACATACCAGTGGCTCACTCACTAGCCACTGACTCAAAGACGTGATCTAAAGAGTCTACCCTTGGCCTGAGGAAAGAGACAGCGACTATGCCTGGGGGATCTGGGGTCACTGCTGAGTTTTCAGCCTTGGCCCTCCTCTGACCCAGAGTGACTTTATTCAGCTGCCTGTCCTGGGTGGGGCCAACTCAGCCCAGGCTGACCAGATTTCCAGGTACACTTACTAGGGTGAGAAGTTGGGCCAGCCTTTCCTTCCTCAGGCTTGATGAGGCCCAGCTCCTTCTCAACACATTCCTATGTCCCCTAGAAGAACCCCTCTCTTGGCCCCCATATCACTCCTGCAACTTGAGGGGGGGGAGTGGGGCATGAATTTCTGAGAGTGCTCCTGGGAGGAGTCCTGCGCAGGGCCTGAGAAATGAGCAGAAGAGTTGATCGCTTTGGGTTGTCAAAAACAACCCCTTTCCCAGGCCTGGGAAGGTGAGATATTTATGCTGATACTGCTACCATTCCCTGGTGGAAGTTCTCAGAGCATATTAATAAATATTGAAGGGGTCACATGCCCCTCTCACCCCCTTCCCAACCCAGGGTGCTGGCAGGGAGAATAGAGCACCCCCACCAACAGGGGCTGGGAGGATGACTTGGTTTTCCAGACCCCTGGAATCCTGGAGCCCAGACATCCACTCTGGGTATTTGTCATCATCTTGGAGACCCATGAGAGGAAGTAGGAGGAATGAGACAGAGGGAGGGTCTCTAGACGCTCCTTTTAAACCTTCTTGGACCTGCAGGGGCAAAGGGACAAAAGATTTTGTTCCTGTTTTCCAGAGAGAGAAACTGAGGCTCAGGCGAGGGTAGGGCCAAGGTCAGGCAAGAGGCAGAGGCAAGGCCAGAAATAGAACCCTGGTGTCCTGCTGTCCTGGTCTTGCCGACGCCGGACGCTCACATCGGCAGGTCGATTCCCTCTCAATTAGCTCTGAAGCCGACACCCGCACCGACTAAAAGCCCAGCTCGCTGGCAGCCAGCCTGCGGCGCTGACTGCCGTGGCCGCCCGGGGCGGGGCTGGCGGCCGCCTGGGGCCACCCCGTCCCTGGGCCTCTGTGCCTCCGCACGCAGGTTCTGTCCTGAATGACCTTTCCGCCTCCCACTTGAGCTCCTGTCCTACTTTTACGCGTGGATGCCACTTAGTTTAGTGGATACTTGAGTCCCTGCCATGAGCCAGGCCCTGTGCAGTGAACAGGGTGGGGCGCTCCCAGACAAAGTGGCTGAAAAGATAGTGGCCACCCAGTTGGCCCATGCTTCCTGGGAGCCCAGCACTTATTGTGCACTAGGCCCCAGGCCCCCTTCTCCCACTTCATGTTGGATGGTCTCAGCCAGGACATACCTATGGTGCAGCCCTCCATGAGGGGTAGTCCCTCACTGAGCATTTGTGGAGTGAGAATGGAGACTGACATCTACGGAGCCTGGGGGTCCTGGCCTGGATGTGTCTAAGGCTGGGGGGACTCCCTCCTGCTGCATATACCCAAGGGGCACAGAGGGGGCTGCTGTTAGGAGCCCTGATGGTCGTGGTGGCTCCATGCCTCAGCTTCTCCATCTGTGAATGGATGAAAGCAGCTGGGCTACCAGGCTTCAGGAATTTGGCCTAGGCACATCCCCTCCCCTCCTTGGGCAGTTGGGAGGTGCTAGTTCCAGCCCAGTCAGCCCAGACCCTCTAATAAACCAGAGGTGCTGGTGTGAGGGTTGGGGGGGCCATGCTGCCCAGGGCAGATAAAGGAACAAAGGCAGGAACTGGGCCAGGCTTGGGCTTGCTGCCTGCCCATCAGCCTGGGCGCCCCAGCCAGACCGAAAGCCTGGAGAGGGTGTAAGGAGAAGGGGCCCAGTTGGAGCAGGAGGACTCCTGTGGCCCATCTCCTGTCCTGTTCCATCAGCAGCACAGCCAAGGTCATGCGGAAATGAGGGTCAAGTGGGGAGGTTGTCAGGAGCAGGAGAAGCATTCTTTGAGTGCTCATGGATGCTTAGAACTAGTGACCTGGCCAGCAGGACCTTCTTTCTTCCATCCATCCTTGCCTGGGCCTGGAGTCCTCTTAACCCCAGAGTCACTGGTCAGGTCTGGGAGGAAAAAATGCCCTCCTTCCCCCACCCTGAGACCGTCCAAACCCTGGGGTACCACCTCCCACTGCAGAGGGAGGTGTGAAGGCCCTGCCAGCTCCTTTGTTCAGCGTAGGGAATGTTTACTTTTTCCCAGGAAGCCACCCCCACAAGACACAGCTCCTGCCTGGGCTGGCTTTGGCCAGGACTTGAGGTCAAGAGGTATTTGGAGAGGGAAAGGGGTCTTGTGATGACATGAGTTAGCCGGGCTACTGAGAAACTGAGGCAGGAGTCGGGAGATGGAATGGAAGGTCATCTTGCCAGGGGAGGTCAGGAAAGATGAAAATAATAGAAATAACAGTAGGTACCCGTGATGATAACCAACAGGAGTCCCACCAAGGCCTAGGGAGGAGGGCTGCCTGGGTTTCCTGTGAGGAATCAGACCCAGAGGCTTTCCCGGGTAACTCAGGAGCCAGACTCAGATGGAACGTGGCTCCGCCTGATGTCCGAGCCTGTGCCAAGACTGAGGCTGGGGGGCAGGTTGGGGAGGCAGGCCCAGCCCTCTCCCATGAGCTCGGGCTAAGCCTCGAGGACCCTGCGGTGCCGCCCGTAGCCTGTCCAGGCTTACTTCCCAAGGAAAGCGCTGGGTTCACCCTGGGCAGGCTTCCTGTGCTCTCTCCCCCTGGAGAAACAGCATCTGGGCTTACTCCTTTCCTATAAATCCAGTTGTCCATCACCCCAGCCCCTCCACTGATCAGAGTGCCCTGGGAAGCTGTCTCCCTTCAGAGAAGGAAAAGCAGAGTCCAGGAGAGGATAGAGCTCTGACGTCCAGAGCAGCCCTGGGGTTCAGCCTTCTCAGACTGGGCGTATCTGGCTTGCCCGGTGGGAGGGACATGCTGTAGGTGGCGGGTGAACAGGTGGGTGCTGGTCACCAGCCCCCAGCCTACGTCAGCCTAGCCTCGAGTCTTTGGAGGTAATGGCCCAGAACAGTGCCACCACTTACATCATTTGTGTGTGGCTGAGCGAGAGTCGCCAGGCCTCCTTATTAGGAAATGAGGAGATTGGAGGTTAGGAAGGGTCACAGTCCGTTTACTTCACCCAAGGGAGAGTGAGTATAGGACTGAAGTGGAAGTGCCTCTAGCAAGCCTCATCTTAGCTGCCTTGACTGCGCAGGGGTGGGGGCAGGCCTGGGGAGCTTTAGGGACCCTTCCTTGCCCCCTAGGGGCTCCCTGGTCGGCCAAGCAGGCTTAGAGCTTGAGATTGAAAGGGAGGGGTGAGAAGGAGCTTGGAGGCCAGGGATGGCATCAGAAAGCTGGGTAGGTGGCGTTGACAATTACAGTGAAACTTGGCGATCACAAACTGGGGAGGGCTAAGTATTCCAGGATGAGCCAGACAAGGGAGGAAGGAAGACCCAAAGCATGAACTTGAGCCCAGATCCCTGCATCTGGGACCTCAGTTTTCCTGGAAATGGGAGCTACTCCCTCTCCTGAGATGGACCTTCAAAGTGGCCACTTGGGGAGTTGGGAGGTCCTGGGGGGGCCAGTTGGCCACCCCTCAGCTGGCCACGGATCACCGTTAGAGAGAGCGGGCCAGGTCCTTGTGCTTGCCGAGAACCTGCCCGAAGCCCTGCTGGGGTCAGCCAGGCCAGGGCCAAGGGCCTCAGCTGTGGTCCTTCCAGGTCCCGCCAAGCTTCAGATGGGACCGCCGCTGGCTGGGCCTCCGCAGCACAGGCCTTGTCTCTGGGTGCCTGGCACAACGCCTGCCCCTCCCTCCCTGGCTCCAGCTTCTCTTGGCACGGAGTGAGGAGCTGGTGCATGCTCAAGGAGTAAATCATGTTCCTTGGCAGCCCCCGCTGCTTCGTAATCGTAAAGAATTTAAAGAGAAACCACCAAGATAAAAATCTCATCCTGGCCCATAAAGGCATCTTTCACCCTGTGGTTTGGGAGGCAGCAGCCTCAGAGTGGGCT